TATATTCAGCTGTGTGGAAGGAGCCTGAGGAATTCTTCCCAGGGTTTTCCTAGTGCCAGTGAAGAGAGGCTGCAGGTGAGAAGATAACAAATCCTAAAAAGAGAATGGGAGATGCACCTCTGAGGTCCCAAATGTTGGTTTAGGTCCACAACTTATCAGAGAACGAAAGGAGAAAGGCTTCAGAGATGCATGGGAGACAACATGCTGCCAATACATTTTGAGTATTGAAACCCTCCTTGAGGAAAAACAGAGAAGAAATAATAGATATGTCAGTTTTGGTTTTTCTTTGAAAAGAACTGTGCCAGTTGCCCTGAGGAAAGCTTTAATACTCCAATATATTAGACAAGACATTATCTTCTGCACACTTTTTAGGTTGCCTCCCACTTTTTTCTTCACCAGGTGCATCTTCCTTCCACTTACAGTTAATCCAATGGATGTTATTGGATGAGTTAGAAGTACAGTAAAAACGGGTTTGCAAAGGATTGCTAGATATAGTGTAGCCTTCTCCTCTGAGCTGGAAAAGGGCTTGTGCCCTAGCCAATCAATTAGGTGCACAAGTGGTTTCATCTCATTGCTTGTGAGCCAAGGAAGGAGGACATAGGTGGAGGTGGAGGTGGAGGGAGAGGGTGGCAGGAGCGGGTGTCAGCAGGGTTAGTGCCAGCGAAGAGGTTCTGCCATACATACCACCCAGGTGCAAGTCGATGAGGTCACTGTAATAAGACTCTCCCCAATAGTCTACAACAAGGAATTGGTGGAAGAGAGAGAGTTATTGTTCAAGTGCCCATCCTGGCTAGCCCACCCCACTCCCTGCCCAGAATTAAAGCAGTCTATAAGAGAAAATGCATACATAAGAGGCTGACAGGGAGCAGAAGAGAGAGAGAAAGAAACAAGAAATCATGCAACTTTGTAATAAATATATACACATACATATATATGGATGCAGGAACAATAGAACTCGGAAAATAGGCAGGCAAGAAAGACGGGTATGGATTTCCACAAAGGAGTAGATCAGGCTAGCTTAACTGAGACTACTTTCACTTATGTTCATTTGTGTCGGTATGGCATTGCGCTATAGTTGTTTGGGGAGCATTAAGGAAGGATACATAAGCATTTTCCAATGGGGAGCGAACTCAGGGGAAAACAGGACTCCGTTCAACAGAGAAAGGGAAAAAACTTGGCCTGACTTGATTCAGTCTTTCAGGGAACAGTCTTCCCAATTCATCCCCCAATGATCAGTTAAAGAGCATAGGCAGCCAAGATAGTGGCAGAAGGATTTACTCTTTTAACTGTAAGCATGAAATCCGTCAAACAGAAGCAGTTGCAAAATCCTAGTATGGAATGGAGCCATATATTCAGTCAACAGTGTAGAAACACAAGTCTACATTTTAGTCATCAGAAATCAGAGATTTTAATAGCCTAATTTAGAAAAAAAGAAACCGATTTTTCCGTTAAAAAACAGAATCAGAAATCCTGGTTGATCTACTACACTGATTCCCAACCTTTTTTTGACCAGGGACCACTTGACCAGGGATCACTCTCCAACATTAGTACCAAAACAGTTATGAATCAGTTTTTGGTCAACTTTAGATTCAGTTTGGTGATTTGGGGTGCTGATTCAGAAAATTTCATTGGATAGGCCACATCAGCTCTAGTTTCTGATGCAGAACATATGCCATCCAGTAGTCACCATCTGCTTGTCCACAGAAAACCATATTTAATAATCTAGATCTGATGTGGTAGTAGTAATCTTTTGTGGGTAGTCAACCTCTCCCCTCCCATCATCCTCGTTGCCTTGGCACTATAAGAGGATTTTGCAAGACCAGTTGCTCTCATTGTCATGTGGTTTTGAGGCAATGGTGTAATAATGGTGAGATCACGGACCATATTTTCATTCTCATGGACCACTGGTGGCCCATGGACCTCAGGTTGGAAACCACTGATCTACTACAAGGGTGTACATATTGGAGGCCAGAGTACTGACACCATAGGAAACTTTTGAGGTTGGTGTCCACCTGTTTCAAAGACAACCTTCTCTTGGCGGTAAATTGCCCACCGCCCCAATGTGATGAAAATACGCCACATTCCACCCAAAGAGCATTTGGAGGTGCTTTGGGGGAAAATATGTTTTATGATTTTTATTTTTAATCCGTTGGGGTCACAAAAAAATCCTGGTAGGCTACATATGATCCACAAATTGCAATTTGCTCACCCTGATGTACTGTAAATCATCCCTTTTTAAAACAATGTCCCATCCCCTGTCCTCCCCCCCCCCCCCCCCCCCCACCATCTCTGGAAGTAAATCTTTAGAGAGAACACAGTAGGGTTTAGGAACTGGCTTGCATGACTGTGCTAGAAAATATTAAGTAAAAACCAAATCCCCCTGCAAATTCTGAGCATAACCAGCCTGTTGTAGATACACTGCCCAAACCAGAAAATATGCCACAGATTAGAATTGGCAAGAGTACAGTGGAGGAGGTAAAGACCAAGAGAAACTATAGAGTTTCTACATATCTTGTTGTCTCCTTCCTTGCTCTCCAAAGAAATATTATATTTCAAGCCTAGGAATACTCCTTCAGTATAAAAGTATCAGAAATATGTGTCTGATAATCATGTTAAAGTCACTTTAGATGTTTAGCATATAAGAAACCTGCTAAAGTAGAAGTGGTGTAGGAGAAAGGAATGAGGAGTATATATGAAACTTCAGGATATTCTATGTAAAGAAAGGAAGCTACAGGAAGATGACTAAAGTCTTGTGGACTGTGCACCATAAATAGTTCTTTTCTGCTTCCAGTGTGGCTATTTTTAAAGGAACTCCATTGTTTTGTACAGTACTCAACTCTATTACGAAAGAAGTTAATAAGTAAATTGCCAAGTCATAGACTTCAGAGTTGATCTAAGGTATGGAAAGTTCATTAAGGCTAATCAGGATTGGGCAACTGTTGAAGGCTAGGGGACTATATTAACACATTAAACCATAAATGTCTACCCCCCTCCATGACTGGAATATGGGGAATTTCTCACCATGTTTTTCAGGGCATTTTGAGAGGGGAAATTTTAAAAACAGTTTGCAAATATTTGTTTTGATCTTGGGAAGGTAGTTTAAGGGGCCCACAAACATGATGGAAATGCCCTCCATATCCCCTACAGGGCCATTTTGGCACATTCTGAATTATTATTTTTTTCTAATTGCAAAAATAGTTTTTATAAAATAGCTTGTACCCCTGGAAGATCCTGGGGATGACACAAATGATCCTGAGGGTCACACAGAATCTAAACTTCATATTTTCCCCACCCTTGTACTACTCCAAATGAGTTGAGCCTCATCAAGTGGCTGTTTTTGGTACATGTTATTACAGCTCATTGTTATTGTTTTGTCAAAGCCAAAGCAACGTTTGGATTTTCTGCCTCATTTACTAAACGTTTTGGGAAAATTCTGGAGTGAGAAATATATGTTCTTTCAAAAACATAAAAAAGAGTAAGTTCAACAGGACTTGGTCCACTATGGACAATTTTGTGACACAAAAATAGTAATAAGTTGTGCTTTAGGAGACTGTTTCCTATATCAGAGACAGGTAGACTATAGCCTTCCTCCAGGTTCTCCATCCCACCTTTCATTCCTCTAGCAGAATATTAGAGGCTGATGAGAATCAGATTCATACAACATCTGGTAGGTCACAGGCTCCACAACTCTACTTTATTCAAATATAATGCCATCTCAGGAAAAACACGTTTACACTGTATGTCTATCACAATAAACGCATAGCATCTATTTTACCATAAGCATTTATGGTAAGGGACACACAGTGCACCTACAATGTAAAAAATATCTATGCAGAAAATTGTATGGGATGTAATGATACCATTATTAGATTCTAACTGATAAGGTTAGAATCCTAACATACAGTTATCACCAAAGGAAGAATGGATTGCCTTTATTTGATATGCAGAGAGAATACTGGAAAATGGTATGGGGAAAATCATAATATAACCATGTCCATTCCCACAGATGAGCCAGTCCACCATGTCTAATTTTCTCCTTTGTAAAGTTTAATGAAATTCACTGCATGATGCAATACTATAACATACTGAGTTTCCCCAACTTCTCTAATGGCAGTTAATGAAGAGGGATGTGGTGAGTTTCACCAGGCACTTAAGAGTCCAAAGGAGGACTAGATGTAGGAGGACCCCCCACTCCCTTTGCACCATAACCACTTTGACACAAAAATAGTAATAAGTTGTGCTTTAGGGGTCTCACCCCTAGGGGTGAGAAAAGTGGTATATAAATGCTGTAAATAAATAATAATAAATAATAATGTCTAGCTCCGCTCCTCATCTTCTTTACCCATCCTAACCCCAATACCAGTCATTTAATTCTGGTCATCAAGAGTATAACATGCTGCTTAGCTAGGAGACCAAGACAATCTTTCCACAAGATATGTGAAGTTCAGCTCCACTTGCTCAAGTAAGATGACTTGTGTTTGTGCCAAATTTGCAGAGAGCACATGGTACTTGCTAGGGCTGTTCTGTGATGGTCCCTTGTGAGGATGATAATGTTGGTTCACAGCACCATTAATTAAAATGACTATTTCTTTTATTCAACTTGCTGGACAAAGCAAAGGCTTCTTTGCTATGATATAGCTTTATTTGCTTAAATATTTCACAGATGGATAGTTTATAAGCTGCACTTCAACTTTTTAGAAAATGTGACCAGGAGGTTGGCAAACCTCGCTCTGTAACAGAAGAAGAGACACAAATTTTCAGAGCAAATGTAAGTCTACTATGGAACCTTGTCTTAGTAGAAATAGTTTCAAAGGAAAAGGGTTCCAAGATATGATGCAGAAGAGAAAAGACAACTATAATCCATTTGTTTAAGAAATTAATTAAAAAAATCAATTTTCAGCTTAGGAAGGGATCAGAACATCAATTGTAACAAATCTTTGCATGAAAATATAAGCAGCAAAGATACAAAACCACATAAAACAGTGAATTATGAAAGATACCTGCTTCACCCCTAAGTGCCTTCTCAACAGCAACCCCTCTTTCCTCCAGTTGCCTCTGCTTTTCTTCTACTTGTTCCAGCTGCCGTTGGATAATCTATGGAAAGAGAACAGCAAGTATCAGCAAAAGTTCTCACTCTCCTTATGCATCCAAATGATAGCATGCTAATCTCAAGAATCTTAAATGCTACAAAAATGGGGCAAAGACAATTAAGAGTTCCCCCAAAGACATATATGTATAAGCACTCACCGTTAGGGAATAGGTTTTCTTCTTTTTACTAAAACTCCAATGATTCCCGAGGATACAGTCAAAATAAATAATTTTTCTCAGCTATCACCCTCCAAGGAAAACCAATATTTCTATTTTAGTTATAAAATTATATTAAACACACTCTACAATGTCAGGTGAAGCATCTTGCATTCCTGACTTATTGTCCTTCTTTGCCTGCTCCATGTCCAAAGTGTCAATCAATTTATATTCCTTTTTGATTTTCACCTTTGCCATGAGGTTCCTTGGTCCTCATTCTCTATATAGACTAAATACTGTATATACTCGAGCATAAGATGAATTTTTCAGCCCTTTTTTTAGGCTGAAAAAGCACCCTTGGCTTATATTTGAGTCACGATTATCTATTATTTTACTCTGTTAAGAAGAAGAAGAAGAAGAAGAAGAAGAAGAAGACGACGATGACGACGACTGGAACGGCAATTTGACGAACAAGACTGTTTTATTAATTATTGTTTTATTGCTTATGGATGTATGGTTTTAATTTGATTTATGTTTAATTGTAGTGTATAATTGTAATTGTTTGTACTGGCATTGAATTTTCCCATTACTTTGTGTAAACTGCTTTGAGTCCCCCTAGGGGTGAGAAAAGCGGTATAGAAATACTGTAAATAAATAAATAAATAAATAAATAAATAAATAAATAAATCTACTCCATTTATTTAATGTATTTAAAATAATTACATTATTTTAATCTATTTATTATTATTGCATTTATTATTTTTCACTATTTATTATTGTTATTATTACATTTATTATTTTACTCTATTATTACTGTTATTATTACATTTCCATTATTTCAGTCTATAATTATTATTACATTTATTATTTTACTCTCTTTATTATTATTGGAAGGATACGTAAGCACATTTACATTGAAGAAGATTAGAATAATGATTTTATCAGAGATGGGCAGTCTTACCTTAAATGAAAGTTTTATGTAAATATTCAAAAACATTTAACCTACTGATGTCTCAATTAATTGGTATATAATTTATTGGTATATAATTTTATTTTGAAATTTACCGGTAGCTGCTGCATTTCCTGTCCTTGGCTTATACTTGAGTCAATACGTTTTCCCAGTTTTTGTGGTAAAATTAGGTGCCTCGGCTTATATTTGGATCAGCTTATACTCGAGTATATACGGTATATATATTTGATAACTGAATCTATACATATTCTTCTTGCTGCTCTATTTTTCATCCCTATTTTGTTATTTCCCAATCTGTCAAATCTAGATTGAAAGCTTTCCAGGGCACAAATTAATTGGTCTTTTGCTTCTGATATTTTAAAGTATCCGTTCTTTGACTTTATAGAATCATTGCAAAACACATATGCATCTATATCGCCTGTAGCCAAAATAAATCTTTCTCATACAGTTTTTTTCAAGAGTGGAGATCTTAACAACAAGAGAACAATGGGCACTGGTGAAAAACAAATCAAAGCAAATCTACCTTGGGAAAGAATCAATCCATTTTCTCTAACTGTTCTAAGAGGCAAACCCTCCAACTTTAGAGATCAAGTTTTGTAGAACTTCTGCCATATCTTTAATATTTGTGTTCAAGTCATTTCCAACTTATGGAAGCATAAGGTGAACTTATCATGGGGGTTTCTAGGCAGAATTTGTTGAAAAGTGGCTTGCCCTTGCCTTCCTCTGAGACTGTGACTTGCCCAAGGTCACCCATGGCTGAGTGGGAACCCGAACCGTGACTGCCCCAGTCCAATACTCCAACCACTGCATTCCCTGCTGGCTTTATATAATACATGCTGTTCAACATATAGCAGCTGTTAATGATGAAGAATAGTGATTATACAAATGAACCAAATGTCAAGAGTTTATGCAAGAAACATTTACACTGTATTTATTGGAAGTACAGCATTTTCTCGCTACTTCGCTGTTTGCTTTTCACAGACTCGCTGTTTTGCAGTTTTCCAAAAAAAATGAATTTAAAATATACAAGTAGCGAGGAAACATTGTATATCTGTGAGGACACCCCCCCCCCACGAATTTGGTGGTCGTTGTTGGTTAAAATTATTCCCCCCGACGCCATGTTTTCCAGCGCAGCTACCGGAAGGTGAAGAAGGCACGCGCGAGTGGGGAAGGAGAATGGGAGACAGGCACGTGAGGAGGAGCCAGCAGGAAGTGTGGTGTGCAAGGGGAGGGGGAAAGAGGAGAGGAAAGAGAAGGTGAAGGGATTGAGTGAGTGAGAGAGGGGGAAGGGGGACAGAGGAGTGGGCGGAGCCACTCCTAGGAAGGGGCGGTCCTACGTCTCATGCACGCACTGAGGTAGTACATATATAGCATCCCTACTTCGCGGATTTTCATTTATCGTGGGTGGTCCTGGAACGTAACACCTGTGATAAGTGAGGGAACACTGTATAACATAAATGGTTTTCAGAGGTGTGGTCATCCTATACCTCTCTTTCTACAGTTTCAAGAAAAGTGAGGTGGAATGTATAGCTGTACCTGGGCCCTGTGTAACCTTTTGAGCTCCTCTTGCTTGGCTTGGCGGCGAGCAGCTTTCTGCACCCGTCTGGTCAGTTTGGCATTGAGCTCATCCTCCGTGTACGCTTTCTGTAGTAACAAGAAAAAAATATTGTGTTTCAGCCTGTAAACCAAACTGTCAGTCCCACTGACTTGGAACCAAGTATTTCTTAAAGGGCTGTGTGCTAGACTTCCTGCCTAGCCATCCATGTGGGTGGTAGCAGTGCAGCAAGTAGGCCTTGGTGGAAGAGTAAGGAAAAAGTGAATCATGTGCAAAGCAGTGATTTTATGCAGTGTTTCAAGCTACAGCTAAATTATTTTCAATGCGTCTTGCAGCCTGCCCCAAATAAAGCAGTTGCTCCTTATTTTTCTTTGAGGACGTAACTCTGTATTACTAGCTGATCAAGCCTTGCTAAAAAAATCACGTCATAATCAAATCACGTTAACGGGTGAGCTGCATGTAGCTGTGCAAAGTATGGCACACAGTGAACTGCCTGCCTGTGCCATTATGAGACCAGCTTGCAAAAGAACCCCACATTACCATACAATCACCAGGTCCAGTCAGCATAATGAGAGAGGAAAAAAGATCTGCAGGACCATGGGATTCAACTGGTGTTGGACTATCAAGTCAACCATGAGTGGAGGAAATGACGATGTGAATTATTACTCATAGAAGAGAAAGTCTTCTCAATACACTAACTAGAATGCCTGGGGGGAGGTTATGTGAAAAACTATAAAGTATCTCAAAGACAGACGTGTACCTTTTGTAGTTACTTTGGAGCAGGGGTTCATACTTCTATACAGAAACCAGCACAGAAGTATGACAAACTAGATTAATGGGTTCTGTGCAATATATCTTTATGTCTTTTGAATACTGACCAGCCCTCAGTGGACAAAGGCAAATCAAGATTATTTATAAGCATCTCCATATTTCAACACCATTTTATCAATAGATTGAACCAGACAGTATGGTTAAAATCTTAAACAGATTTGAGGAAAAAAGAGAAGAAATACCATTCCAGTAATTACCAGAGTTTGTTAAGTGGAAAAAGAGACCCCGCAGTATAGAAAATCAATGCCCCTTTATGACCACAACACCTTTAAGACCCAGTTACACTGGCAGCTTATATGACTACATGGCCACAGATGCAAAGGGAATGTATATGCCACGAGAAACGCTAATTAATGGACACTCTTTTATTGTTCTGTCCAATACTCCTCATGTATTCTGTAACAAAAGATGTTGGTACAATCTCATCCCTTGGTTTAAAAATCTTGTCCAAAGAATGATCCAGAAGCAGATGCTTATACTATACTTTGATAAGCTGAATAAATAAGGATTCCTGATTACAACACATCTTTTCAAAAGTATCATGGTTTAAGTGTTATGGCTCCCACCTCATTCTCCTTATGTTGAGATCTCTCTAAGCATATGAGATTATGCCAATTACCATGTCATATAGTACTATATAGAAATAGAACTAACATAGCTTCAAGGCATCACAATATTTAATTTTAAGCATAAAACAAAGTTTGTGTACACCAGAGAGCAAAGGTGCCACTATCTGAGTCACTCATGTTCTCAAGTCTGGATTTTGGAATTTTGGAAAAGGGATACTCAATGTATGTATGCAAATTAAGATTTGGAGAACTGTATCAATGAAGAAAACAACTTATTTGTCTTTTTAAAACTATTTTTTATTTTGTGCACTCTGTGCAAGCCTACACCTTTGTAACAATCATACAGTATGTGTTGTGTAACGACGACTATTTGTTTTTTATTATTTCCATGTCCAAAATACTCTGTGGCATAATGATTAGAGACCAGAGATCCAATCTGAAAACTGCATTCACTTCACTCATTGATCCTGGGACCTTGAGGGAATCACTTTGTCTGAGTCTAAGCTAATTCAGAAGATTGTTGTGATAATAAATAAGGGGAACCATTTAAATCAGTGGTTCTCAACCTGTGGGTCCTCAGGTGTTTTGGCCTACAACTCCCAGAAATCCCAGCAAGTTTACAAGCTGTTAGGATTTCTGGGAGTTGAAGGCCAAAACATCTGGGGACCCACAGGTTGAGAACCAATGATTTAAATCATCCTGAGCTGTTTTTAGGGAAGAGTTAAATAGCAATGTAATAATAAATGAAATAATTTTTGGATGCCTGCCACAGACGTGGGTGAAACTTCAGGAGTGAATGCTTCTGGAACATGGCCATGCAGCTCGGAAAAACTCACAGCAACCCAGTGTTTCTGGCCATGAAAGTCTTCAACAACACATAAATACGTATTGTTTATACTCTTAATTTTGCAGGTTTAGAAATTCAGATTATTCAGCTAAAACACCCTGGAAAGTGAACAAATTGAAATGAAGATCACCACTTCTCCCTGCTGGATTTTTGATGTACATATTGCATGCCCTTCACGTGGATACGAAGTTTTGGGCCTTGAAGATGATCTGTCATTCATATTTGTTAATAATTTCTTACATGCACAGCAAGGATGAAGTTAGTACAATTGAAGGCAGGAAAAGGGACACAGAGTGATATTTTGCTTCATGAATAACAGGAATGCATGCAACCATGGCCAGTCAATGAGAATGGAGACACTACCTTTGATGCGTATGATCTCTTGAATGCCAAGGCGTGTGGGACGTAAATCGACTTTATAAGGGGGAGGGAGGGGAAGGAATAGCAAAGGCAGAAACAAAAACAAACAACATGGAGCAAAATCAGTTTGAAGTTAAAACACTGAAAAGAAAATGAACAATAATAAACACAAAGGCTGGTTGAAATGCAACATGAAACTACACAAGGAGTGAATTCTTCAAGATCTGGAAACACACAATGGAAACATATTGCTAAAGAAGAAAAAGCTGGATTCCTGAAGATTGCTTCCTACAGGAAGAGCGTCTTGTAAGTGTTACTAGACACATTTTCTGATCTAAATATTTCTAATCTATGTATAAATATATATATAAGGGCAAATGCTAGACCAACTCTGGGCAGCTTGTGCACTTGTAACACTCTTATGGCAAGGGCTGGGAATCATAGGCACTGGAGCCAAATCTAGCCCCCTGAAGAACTAAGTTCACCCTCTCTATCCTTTGGTCTTGCACTGGAAGGATGGTGGACTATTAACTACATAAATAAACCTTCCTTGTAATATTATAATATAATACAGCTTGCATTTGAAAATGTCCAGTCGCTAGGTTCCTTAAAAATATTTTGCTCTCTGCACTTCATCCATTATCCAGCCCGACAATATGCTGCTTGAACTATCTCATGTCCGGCCCTTTTACACCCTGGTTACACCCATTGAACTACTGGCTATTGGTTTTGTTGAGTATTGTTTTGATTCTGTTTTAAAGCTGCTGTTTTATACTCTTATGCTTTATTGAATTGTGCTTTTATCTGGACTGTTATATTTAACTATGCTTTTATTTCAAGTGTATTTTTGCTTGGATTAACTGTTTTGTATTTGTGTCTGTGGGCATTTTGTCTCACATGTAAGCCACCCAAGTCCCTTCAGGTAGATGGTGGCAGGGTATAAGAATAAAGAAGTTGTTGTTGTCGATGATGTTGTTGTTATTATTATTGTTGTTGTTGTTTGGTGATTTCTATTTTTGCGCATTTTTTCTTAATTTTAAAAGCTTGAAAAGCCTCTCCTAAGGCTTAGTTCCGCTCTGAGTCCCCTTCGGGGCGAGAAGGGCGGCATATAAATGTTGTAAATAATAATAATAATAATAATAATAATAATAATAATAATAATTATTATTATTATTATTACTAGTAGGATGTGCTTTAAGCTAAGAATATCCTTTTTATCTTTGGCCAGACCTACTACTGGAATGTGGCCTATTAAAACTTCACTAAAACTGAATTCATATATCAGGCTGAAAGAGCTTTCGTACTTTTGTTTCATGGACTTTAAAGAAATTAAACATTTTTTTCATAATGTTGAAAGTTGTGTCCAACTTTTTCTAATTTTCATAATGGCACAACTTGTGTCCTAGCCTAAGTACTTGCATGGCAATAGTTTTTCAGGAAATTCAGCTTGGCTAACACAAATGCATAAGCATTAGTAGAAAACGGAGGGGGAGAAATCTGAGAATTTAAGGCTACACCTCAGTTGTCACAGACAGAAACACATTTTTGAACAGTTCACTACTACGAGAATCACATACTATACAACATATTCATACTAACAATAGCTTCTAGAAAATTGACAGAAATTGCTACTAGCATTTCCTTTGCGCTTCTAGTGTTAGACAAAACCAAAGCGCTAGTGCAGATTAAGTCTCCCTTATCTGAAATTTTGGAACCAGAATGTTTTTTGGATTTTGGAATTTGGTGTGGACTGGTTGATGTCATTTTGCAGGGGGGCTTGTAAAATGCCTGTGTGGTCCCGCCCCCTCCCCCCCGCTGGCTGGGATCTGAAGAAAAGCCCAGTCAGTGTTGGATGTGTGACTAAAGAGTTTTTGGTTTTGGAATAATTTGGATTTTATATTTTCGGATAAGGAAGATTCACCCTGAAATCACAAAATATTACTTTACATCACACCAACTTGGGAACAGAGGATGCAGTTGTACAACAAGAAGAGCAATGGCTAGGTCTCAATCTATTAGTAATTTAAGAACAGTCATGTCGCCAAGTGAGGGAAATAAATAACTGGCTTCAGAAGTTACACATAAAATCATACTCTGCAATTCTATAAGAATACCCCACACCATCCTACAGTTTCTGTCGTCACAGCTCACTAGCATGGAAAATATCAGAGGGTTTTGGTGTGCAGCCATGATTTACCTAAGGCTTTCAAGTGTGTTTCCATAGTGATCAGGGATTTGAACTCTAGTCTACAGAATCATAGCCCAATTTTCACACCGTTACACTACGCTAAACGTAAATCTAAGTATCCTGATGATTCATGTGGACGACAAAAAAAATGTGGTGATGATCAAATGGCTTGCACTACCATTTTACTGCACTAAATTTGTTATGATTAATTGATATGCATTTACCATTTATGAAGAAGTTTATTAACAGGGTAGCTGAAGTTGGCACAGAAATCATTGTTTGTACCCTTTTCAGTGCTTGATTATTTTTTAGGCAAGTTTCAAGGTTGTATTAATTGCATTCTTCACTAAGTATTAAGAAATATGGTTTTTCTTCACCATCAAAATGCAAAATAGAGCCCTACTCAAAAATTGCTCTTTAGAGCAGAACTTTCCTAACTGTGTGTCATGACACATTAGTGCAGTGATTCTCAACTTATGGGTCCCCAGATGTTTTGGTCTTCAACTTCCAGAAATCCTAACAGCTGGTAAACTGGCTGGGATTTCTGGGAGCTGTAGGCTAAAACACTCGGGGACCCATAGGTTGAGAACCATTGCACTAGTGTGTCAGTTGCAGAGTCTACATGTGTCACATGAATGTAATGAGAAACCTCTGAGTCTATGTGAAATAAGCAATAAATCATATAGTTTAAAAAATATAAATGAAAGATTTTAATGAGCTATGTTGTGTCCCCATTCATTTCCTTATTACGATTTATGTATGCATCTGTATCTCTTATAAGAGGTTGATTTCATCTCTGGCTTGCTAGTAAAACGGAATTACTGTGTCGCAAAATTATGCATGTCTAAATAGTGTGACACTGACATGAAATGTTTGGAAAACTCTGCTTTTGAGATTGATTCTCTCTTTTTCTCACACTTAGGTAATCTGTCTGAGGAAGTATCAGTTGAAGCAATGTTTATTCCATGCTACGTGATCATGTGAACATCAGGAAAACTGTAAGGCTAAGACGGAACAGACATATCTGAGTGACGGCATCATGATTAATCTGAGCTTGCCATCTCCTCAGTAATGCTCCTTCCCCACATCATTTCCAGCATCCCAAGGTACCTCCTCCTTCCTCAGTATCCCAGATGCAACATGGAACCTGCCAGGAAAAACCTGGTGGCAAGCATGAAAGAAGTGTAAAGAAGAGTCAAATAAAAAGAACAATTGGGAGGGGGGAGGGGTTACTAGAGAGAAACTTGGTGATTAATTATAAAACATGGTCTCATTTGCTGTTGAAACCACAATATTATATCACTGTTCTTTTTTCCAAGGACAGCTGCTCTGGCTATATTTTATCACCTCATCTAAAAGTGACCTAAGGAGCGTACGTTTTTACTATCCCATCCCGGCCCTGATTGCTCTGCATGCGATTTTGTATAGCATCAGGTCCTTTTGTCAAAAAATAGTGTATGTCTGACCAACAGCATTCCTATAATTATTGTTGTTATTGCAATAAATGAAAAAGATTTTACAGTTGTCCCTCCACCCACATTTGCAGTTTTGACTTTTGTGGATTTGATTTTTCATGGATTTGATTAAAAGTGTTCTCTCTAAGGGCAGTTCCACACAGACATTAAACACACTTTGGAGCAGGTTTAAGAAACCCGCTCCAAAGGGGATTTAAATCCACACAGTCAGGGGAAAAAAAACGAGATTTGCTTGAATATTTTTGGAATGATATGTGGCCACCCAACCCCTACCCCACAAAACTTTAACAATAAAAAGGAAACTCACCAGGAGACATTTTGCTTCTCCTCCTGCCTGAAGGAACATACCAATGACACAGAAAAAGATAAGGGGAGCCAGGAGCCATTTGGGCCTTCCTTCTTTTCGGGTGTCATTGATATAATCCTTCAGGCAGAAGGAGAAGCCAAATGGCTCCTGGTGAGTTTCCTTTTTATTTTTGAGATTTTGTGGGGGGTTTGGGGAGGGGGTGGGGTGGTGCCCTTATGGTTTTCCAGGCTGAATCAGCCTGGAAAACGCAAGGGGTCTGCCTTGAAAGGCACGGTTCTAATTCCACAATCAAATTACCTTGGCACAAAGCAGGGTTTTCTTGCTTTGTGCCGAATGCAGTCGTGTTTACCTGAGGCCTTGTCTGGATGCCCCAGGTAAATATCCGGGAGGGTGCATGTTTTGTGCCCTTTCTGGATGGGCCCTAAGAAACTCTTCCGTAGGATTCAAAAGGCAACTTCCTTCAGTCATGACTGGAGATTTCTAGAAAGAACACATCTCTAGGTCCTCCAATGTGATTCTATGTTTAGGTTCCAGTGGATATTGTTCACAGAATCATGCTAGAAGGCCTATAAATTAGGAGAGGGGTTTTTCAGTTTCATGGTGGCCCTGTGACTCTAATCCTAGAGAATGTGGAGAGCAGACTCTAAAAAGGAATGCTCTTGATGCAAGGTACTTTATGACAGAATTACTTTGCGCTCATTAACCCCGGATGTCATCATTTACTTAAAGCCACAGAGCACAGTGTTCTCCTGAAAGCTTCTCAGCCTCAGATCCTAGGCACTCTTACCTGGGAGTAAGCTCTGAACAGATAAGGCCTTTCATTTTTTAGTAAATGTGCAAGGATTGCACCAGGATTGACATGGCAGCCATACAGAATGGTTCCCTTAAGCAGTAGCAAGAGAGACCATCTTAGCAGAACTTAATTCATTGGGTTTGAACTACAAAGGTTTTACTCTAATCTAGTTAATAATGACGTATATCAGTAGGAAATAATAAAACAAATAATATCAGTTTTGTGAAGATTTCACAACCCAGAAGCAAAGATGTGTCAAAATTCCCTATCCAGTTTAATCTTACCTCACGCTTGGATCTCTGTGATGAGCGTTCTAGCACATCATCATTGGAAAGGTCAGAGTCTTCAGAGAAGCTTAGGTGTCGGCGCATTTGTAAATCTGAAACACAGCAGTCAGTAGTATATTTTTGAACACATTGTCAAGATTCAGTGTGATGCAATAGTTATTCTGTCAAGTCAAGGATAGGCAAGCATAGGCTAAAATCTCTATTCAGCCATGAAGCTCCCCAGGTAATGCTGGGTAAATCATTATCCCTCCCCTCACTTAACCTATCTCAAAGGTTTGCTGTGTGGATAAATGGGATTGGGGAATGTACAGAAACATGTACATGTGTTCCTTGGGAGAAAAAAAATCTTTGTCCAGGTTTTCTCGAAAGAAAAGTAGTACAAATGAAATAAAAATAAATGCACCTTATATTTACATTCTTCTCTCTCTCTACATTGGAATAGGATATTGCGATCATGATATTGATAAGCAGTAATAGTTGATAACTCCAGTTTAAATCTATATTGCCAGAAAATATTAATAATGTGATTTTAGTTTATCCCCTCTCTTCCACTGGTTACTCAAATACTTTGATTCAATGTCTAAGTCAGTGGTTCTCATCCTTCTTAATGCTGTGACCCCTTAATACAGTTCCTCATATTGTGGTGACCCTCAACCATAAAATTATTTTCGTTGTTACTTCATAACTGTAATTTTTCTACTGTTATTAATTGTAATGTAAATAATCTGATATGCAGGATATATTTTCATTTACTGGACTAAATTTGGCACAAATACTCGATTCGCTTAATACTGGTGGGGTTTGGGGAGGGGGTATTGATTTTGTCATTTGGAGTTGTAATTGCTGGGATTTATAGTTCACCTACAATCAAAGAGCATTCTGAACTCCACCAACAATGGAATTGAACCAGACTTGGCACACAGAACTCCCACGACCAACAGAAAATACTAGAAGGGTTTGGTGGGCATTGATCTTGAGTTTTGGAGTTGTAGTTCACCTACATCCAGAGAGCACCTTGGACTCAAACAATAATTGATCAGGATCAAACTTGGCACAAATACTCAATATGCCCATGTGGAAACTGGTAGAATTCGGGGGAAAAAGAATTTGACAGTGGGAGTTGTAGTTGCTGGGATTTATAGTTCACCTACAATCAAAGAGCATTCTGAACTCCACCAACGATAGAATTGGGCCAAAGTCCCCACACAGAACGCCCATGACCAACAGAAAATATTGTGCTTTCTGATGATCTTTAGTGACCCCTCTGACACCCCTTCAAGACCCCCAAGGGGTCCCGCCCCCCAGGTTGAGAAACACTGGTCTAAGTGATAAATCTGGACTGTGCAAATGACCCTCAAGGGGTACATGGGACTCATCCTTCCTGCAGCATACAAGAAGTCACTCATTAAGGCAAAACTACTGGAAGATCATCATCCTCGGGGTACGAGGGATCGTCTAAGTAAGTAAATACTGCAAATGGGATGTTTATATGCTTTGGGTGTCAAATGTGAGATTGGCCAGGCTGATTTTGATGCATATCCAGAGGAATGTCAAACATTACTGACCTAGCTTGAAGGCCCTCATGACAAGCCCCCCTCAGATCATCTGTTTTAATGAAAATTCTAAACAAACAATATACAAGGAACAAAAGGATAAGAGATTCCACCCTTCAGGAAAAATTTTCATAACTGCTTAAAGGAAGAGCAGGGCATGAAATTCAGTTCACATAAATCCAATTCACATTAGATCTATTTTAAAGGAGAACTGTATGAGAAAGACAAAGACCATTTTTTACTTTAACAGGCTCGGGATGAGAACTGAACACCAAGAACAACCTTATCACTGTTGTCAATTCAGTTCGTTCTCTCCTGAGAAGAGTTTACAAAATGGAAAGTCCTGGATGAAACAGTAGACAGGCAGAGATACTTTAATGTCTCATAAAACTGGGTCGTACACAGGATTCTTGGCAATCCTTTTGTCCACTTAGAAACAGCTACTCTTGATTAGACAGATACTTGATCAGTAATGTTACTGGATAGCTGTGACCACTCACATTAGGTGCATTTGTGTCTTTGATGCCTAACACCATGGTGTCAATCCCATCCTCAAATCAAGGAGGCCGTCTCAAGCACACCAGTAAAATATTAGTACAGGCAGTCCCCAAATTACAAACGTCTGATTTACAAACGACACATAGTTGAGCATGGGGGTGAAAGAACAGGAAGTGAGAGAAATCTAGCCTTAGGAAGGGAAATTCACTCCTGAAAGTCTCCACCAAAGGTTTCTCGCTAATCCTTGTTTCCATAACAAGCCAAATTGTTCAAAATCCAATTCTCACAGGGACAGAAAGTGAGGTTAAATCTTGTATCTGACAGGGGTACAAACATTAAAGGAAACACCACAGGGGTGTTAACTTTTCCCTATGCTAGTCAAAGCATATATTATATTTTAGCAAAATTTTTGCTAAATTTTGGAAACAGAAAGAAACACCAGACGTACTACAATGGATTACAAAAATAAATGAGATTAAAGACATGGACATATTAACATTTTTACTAAAGAAGAATACAGGCAATATAATGAAWCAGACAAATTGGTTAATATTAGATAATTATATGGAAATAAAGGACAAACTGGATTAATGGGACGAGGRTATTTGAARARAACAAAGAGAGATTTARATCCCTTACTTATAGAAAGAAGATGAGACTTTGAAGAGTGATGCAGTATCAGAAGGGAGCCCACTCCCTTTTTTTTTTTTTCTTTTTCTTCTATTTTAGATAAARTTCTTTTTTTTTTRAGGTRTATCTCTCGATTTTCTTACTTTTCTATCTTCTTATATTATTCTCACTCTTTCGCTGTAACCACATAAAACCCTAATAAAATTTTCTCAAAAAAAAAAAAAAAAAGCATATATTATATTATATTAATTATATTAATTATGTTATATTACATTACATTACATTACAATATATTACGCTAAAATTACATTTTAAAAATATGCCTGTTCTGACTAACATGCAAATTCAATTCAAGGACACACCTACATAAACTAGCTTGTTCGCAACTTGGGGACTACCTATATTTTAAAAAGAAAATGACTGCAGAAACTAAAGACATTATTGCAAGCACGCATGGGAAATTAAATACATATTTTTATACAGGACTTGCCTAAAGAGTTGGGCTAAATGTAAAACTTCTAATATTATGAGGAATCTAGTGACACACTCATAGCTTTAGATGGGGTTGATTTTCTTTTGCCTTTTTTATGCTGAAACTGAAGCAAATCCTAGCAGATGTGCATATTCTATGTGTATGGAAGCAATCTGGAAGCTTCCCCATTTATCATGGAACAAGAACAGTGCATGGCCAACAATACTATACCTGCTGCTCTAATCAATGGAGATGCCTTAATTTTCCCAGAGTCCACTGTGGCCCCACTGGAAGGTGTACTAGGGCAGGATTTCTCATCTGCCTTTTTCTTCTTGTCTTTCTTATAACCAGAGAACACAGATTTCCACAACGATTTGGGCTTGGTGGCTTCCTCAGCCACACTGCTGGATTTGTCAGAGAGCTTGCTGTCGTTCTTGGACTTCTTTTCCTTTTTGTTTTTACGGGGAGAAAAGAGAGAAGTCCTTTTCTTACTCTTTCCACCGGAACCTTCTGAGGATGTGACTGAACCATCGTGCCCACTGATGTCTGCAAAAGGTGAGAAGAACCTTTCACTACTACCCTCCTGTTTCAATGTGTGGCCTTCCCCAGATTTCATAGCCAAATGCTTAGGGGACTCAAAAAACGTGTCTTTGGTCTTTGAGGGTAAGGTGGACGCTTTGCGCAGTTTGGCAGTGCCAGTCGCATGGGCCATCTCCAGATCTTTCATTTTACTGAGTTGCCTAGCCATTGCATCACGCAAGGCTTGGCTTTTGACAGACTTTTCTCTGGCCCTCATTCTCTCCTCAGCTAGTTCCTTAGCTTCTGCAGAGACTTGAGGGAAGCCTCTCTTTTGCTGACTTCCCCCTTCCATTGAGGGTGGCCCACCATTCTCTTTAACCAAATGTAAGTGGAGCGGTTTCTCTGGCCTTGGCCTGCTGGGGGGTGTATAGTACTTTTCATGAAAGCTTGTATCCTCAGTCCTCTCATCATAGGTGTCCTCCACATCATCAGCAAACGGTATCTCATCCACACTCTCCACAAAGGACTTCCTCACCTCCTCTCTGGGAGGCTGGGAGGGTTCTCTGGCCGGTCGAATTCGTTCAATGACTAGTGGAGAGTGAGGTGTTTGCAAGGACGCTGGCCTAGACTGGGCTTCATTCTGCCACGTTGCCTGGTGCCTTTTCCTTCGCAGCGTGGCTGGCTCTTCATTCTGAGGAGGTGGTGGGGGAGGGCTGGAGGGGGGAGTGAGCATGGTGGAATCAGAAGTATTGAAACTCTGGCTGGCCAATGTCCTCATGTTGGATGAACTGCCTTGAAGACCTAGTCCAGAACTACTGGACAAATCTCTTTTAACATCACTTTTCAGTTCTCTCTCTGATGGAGACTTTGGCGTCAGCAGAGAAAACTGCTCGTCAAGCTTTGGGGTAATTGGTTTCCTTGGGGCCGGCTGTGGTTTAACAAGGTGGATACATTTATCTTCTGGAACTCCGTCAGGAGTGTATGATTTAAGGGGGGCAGATTCAAGGGGTGAGATTGTAAAGCTGGTTTCTGACCCCCTGCTTCTGTTCACAGGGGTAAGACCCAAACTTCTTCGGATTTCAGCACTCTTCATCCAGAACTCCTCCACAAGGTTATTCCTTTTCAAAGCTTCTTCTGCTGAAGTAGGGCTTGCCAGTTTTTCCACCTCTCCATCTTGACTTTTTAGAACAAGTTTGGCCAAAGGAGTGGAGGTTAAGGCTGGGATTGGTTGAAAACAAACTGGTGATTCCCTTGGAGATGGAACAGATGCTTCAGCAGAGGGTAAAGGCTGTGAACAAATAGGCAGAGGAGTAGCAGGTGGGGATGTAGGTAAAGCGGGTGATGCGGGTTGTGATTTCACAGGGGATGTTGGTGCAATGGTCTCAGGCAGAGCAATTGGCTGGGACCGAATAGGAGAAAGTGGGACAGGTGGGCTTTTGACTTTTTCATCATCCAAGCTCTTGTCTTGTTTTTCATTCTTGCTTTCTGGGAGGAATGGCTCAGGGAAAAAGTGTGTATCTGAGGACCTCTCTTCACAGGACACGATCACAAGATGTTCCTTTGAGTCCTGTAGAAAAGAAGCAATCACAGATCACCATCAACAGAAAAATACACCTATGAAGAGATCATGAAGTGCTAGCTTCCAAAACTTCAACATTAGGTAGCCATTTCTGTTTCAACTCATTAGCCAAAGAGCTCTTCTATGTTAGCCACAGAAATCCAATGTGTTTGTATTAGAACACTCTAGGATAAATGCCAGAACAGTGATGGTGAATGTGTGGTCTGCAAGGTGTTGCTGAACTACAAATCTCCTCACTCTATGCTGGCTAGGACTGATGGAAATTGCAGATCCAAAACATCTGCCTATTCAACATCTCTTGTAGGAAACCTACTGCAAATGAAGTAGCATATCGGTAGTGAAACTGCCTCTCAGAAAAGTTTGCTTGCCATTATTGATCATCTCACTGAAGAACCCTTGATACAAATTGAAAACCACTCCACACCATTTTAAACTGTAAAAACCTGGAAACAAGAAAAAAAACATAAGGCTAAAAATAATAAAGGTGTATGCACTGTATAACTAACATTGAAAATGGTCCCAGCTGTTTTAGACATCTGGCAAATAATTCTGAGCAGTTACTGGGATAATTTATATTGCTGGACAAATGTTGTGTTACTAACAGTTTACAAAACAATGTCCTGTCTTCCCTCTTGAAGTTTTATGATGCTAGCCTGAAATGCATTTGATTATTTATAACAGGTGTAATGTTTTCTCCATTTTCTAAAAAATAAAAATCTGACTTAAATGCAGGTTAAAAAAGGAACAGCCTCTCAGGACTGTATCTCTTAGTTGTTTGCTTTCTTGTATCAAACATTGTGTTTAATGTTTCCCTTTAAAATTTCCTTAAAGGTAAAGGTTTACCCTTGACATTAAGTCTAGTCATGTCTGACTCTGGGGGGTGGTGCTCATCCCCATTTCTAAGCCGAAAAGCCACCGTTTTCTGTAGATGCCGCCAAGGTCATGTGGCCAGAATGACTGCATGGAGCACCGTTACCTTCCTGCTAAAGCAGTTCCTATTGATCTACTCACATTTGCATGTTTTCAAACTGCAAGGTTGGGAGAAGCTGGGGCTAACAATGGAAGCTCACCCCATCCCACGGATTTGAACCACCAAGCTTCTGATCAGCAAGTTCTGCAGCTTAGCAGTTTAACCTGCGCCACCGCAGCCCCTAATTCCTTTAAACCTACAGGTAAAAGTCTTGTGTTCTAGAAATCTGCTTCACGTGAGTCTGTTTTGGGGAAAATTCTTAATGATGTTGTGTAGAATAAGTTTAGAGTCAAGTCAGCCATTCCTTGAAGATGAGTTAGAATTCACTGTCACGTCAGTTGGTGTTTTTTGTGACTTGAATGTAAGTAATCAATGTGCCAAGTCTAGCTTAGGCTAGATTCAGCACCACTTTATGAGGTGACACTTAATTCTTCCATAAATGGAATACTTAGATTCTAAATGAATACAGATATTCTGGGAGCATGTTTAGGGATTTAAATTAGTCAAGCAGTTTTGTTGGTTTTTTTTGCAACCACTGCTGCCCAAATGTGGTGTGGTTGCATATTCTATGTTCAATGTATCGTCAAAGGCTTTCATGGCTGGAATCACTGGGTTGCTGAAGGTTTTTTCAGGCTGCATGGCCATGTTCTAGAGGCATTCCCTCCAACGTTTCACCTGCATCTATGGCAAGCATCCTCAGAGGTTGTGAGGATGCTTTCCATAGATGCAGGTGAAACGTTACAACCTCTGAGGATGCTTGCCATAGATGCAGGCGAAATGTCAGGAGAGAATGCCTCTAGAACATGGCCATACAGACCAAAAAAACCTACAACAACCCAGAAATTCTATGTTGTTTGCTGTATGCCTTCAAGTCATTTCCAACTTATAACAACCCTATCACAGGGTTTTCTTCACAAATTTTGTGCAGTTTTATGTAGAAGAAATTTAGCTTTGTCTTCCTCTGAATCTTTTTTTTTTTAGTGTCAGGAGCAACTTGAGAAACTGCAAGTCGCTTCTGTTGTGGGAGAATTGGCTGTCTGCAAGGATGTTGCCCAGGGGACGCCCAGATGTTTTACCATCCTATGGGAAGCTTCTCTCATGTCCTCCCACAAGAAGCTGGAGACAGAAACTCACCCTACTTCCTGGATTAGAATCGCCGACTTTTCGGTCAGCAGTCTGAGAGGCTGAGAGAATGGGCCTTGCTCAAGTTCACCCAGTGGGTTTTCATGGCTAGGAACCCTGGTCTCCACAGTCAAGGTCCAATGCTCAAACCACTATACCAAGCTGCTTCTTAAGATACCACAAAATTAAGATTGGAATCTAATCTAGACTATGACAGAATTCTGGGAATTTGTTTTGGTGAGATTCCAAATACATTATCTCCCTGTCCTGTTTCACACTGGTAAGCTTAGGGTCTAAACATTTGTAGATGTGTCCATTTTGAGATAATCTACTAAACACACACAAAAAACCTAAAACACCTCCTAATCTATTTACAAATATTTTATGAGTAGGCTGCTCTTTTAAGATTTGTCTGCGCACATACTGTTTGCTGTAACAAAAAAAACCTCAGTGCCTTTTCTTACCTCTTTTTCTTCTTCCTTGTGGTTATCAGTTGGAGAAACAGAAACAGCTCTCTCGGATGGTGACTCTACTGACTCACATGGCTTGCAGGGATCTGAAAGAGACCCAGTGAACAACAGCATTGCCATCTTAAAGTCATATCAAGTACTTGGAGTATACTGTCTGCTTCTTACAATACACTGCTATTCCTTCCTGTTATGGTATTATGCTGACCTTACACATAATTCGTGGAAGTAATCCATTCAGTGGGGATTATTCTCAACTAAGCATGTACAGGATTGTGGCTCTCACCAAACACAACTAAAAATAAAAGACTGCCTGCAGGTTCATATTATTGGGCAGAGCCAGAAATTTCTAGGAATTTTCCACAGTTTTGAACACATTTCCTAACAAAAAACTGCACGGCAACGATCTGCAAATATGCCTTGAGTCGTAAATGTTCTGAAGCAACTGAGACACCAATTTACTTACAGAATATCAATGTATTGTCGAAGGCTTCCATGGCTGGAATCACTGGGCTGTTGTAGGTTTTTCGGGCTATATGGCCATGTTCTAGAAGCATTCTCTCCTGTAGAGAATGCTTCTAGAACATGGCCATATAGCCCGAAAAACCTACAACAACCCAGAATAACAATGTGTGAATTCTTTGTTAGGAATGAATACAGACCTGCTGTGCATACTGCTCAAAATTGCTTGGGGCTGATGAAATTCTCAATCTAGGTGATCTGGATGGAATTTTTAATACCTTCAGTTACAGTGCAAGGGGTAGCAATCTCTGCCTCCAACTCTTTGTCTTCAGAGACTTCCTGATCTGGATCTCCAGGCTTCTCTTGATGGAGGCGGCACTCTGCTTCTGCATCAGATGGGATGTCATCTGTTCCTCATTGATTTGTGGAAGAAAAGGAAAAGAAACAAAGAATCTTGAGACAAATCTATTGTTGCTTTCAATTTATCACAACAGAATCAAGAAAAATATGTAAAAGGAACAGCAGCTGTATCAATGAAATTGTCTGGTTCGTTGGACCAATATCCTGCATACTATCCTCAAATATACCTTGGTACATATTAATAAATTATTGTTTAAGGACCTTGGTACAACTGCTGCATGACTACTTTGGTACAACTTCCCATGCATCCTCAATTTGCGTGTTGACTTAAGGAAATCCCATGAATATCATAGGCTTTCTTAGATAAGGAAAACCCATGGGGAGTTTGCCATTGCCATGAAACTCAGCTTCCAACACATGATATTTAATGGCAGCCTCCCACTGAAATACTAACCAGGCCAGACCTTTCTTAGCTTCCCAGATCAAATGGGGTCTGGGGCCCATATGGTATTTAAGCCCATTACAGTCACTCAACATAAGGCTAAAATTAACCAGCAAAACAGGCTCTTTGTCTGTTTCCTAAGCTTTTCCATATTTTTTTCAAAGGCTGACTAATCAATATATGAGAAAAAACAAAAATATTAAAAATCCCCTTTCCTATTCTCACTCCACTAGAAAAGCACGCACAAAGAACTTTTCTTTTTTATTGGCCTACTAGCTCTTTTATTTATTTACGTATTTATTCACAGCATTTATACCCCGCCCTTCTCACCCTGAAAGGGCTTCGGAGCAGCTGATAGAACATAGACACGGCAAACATTCAATGCCAATTATACAATGACAACACAAGGCAGTCTTTCCCATCTTATTTCTGGCATCTTGGAGACTATGCTTGACTCCAGGCACAGGGGGTGCTGTCACACCATCTTGCATACTGAGGGGCTTCCCTCTGATTGATGTCCTTAAGGGCACCTTTAAAAAAAAATCCTGCTAAAAGCAGTACTTATTTATCTACTTGCATTTCTGCTTTTGACCTGCTAGGTGGGCAGGTGAGCTGGGGCTAATGGTGGGTGCTCACCCCAACTCGGGCTTGAACTACTGACCTTTCAATCGGTAGCACAGTGGTTTAGCCTGTTGTTCTAAGCCCAGCCCCTGCATTATTCAATTCCATGTCCAAAACTGATAACAACACAGGCTGAGCATCCCTTGATCAGAATTCTGAAATTATCCAGATGGGTATATACAAAACATATACAACTGCCTTTTATGTTGTACGACTTGACAGCTGTAATAGTATTTCAAAGTACATAAGGGAATTCATAGCTCCATACCATCATCCAACTCTGCACCTGTGTCTCCATCTTCAAAGGCTTCTGCAGGCTCACTGCCCACTTCGTCCTCATAGTCATTGTCCTCACACAACGCTAGAATATATTTAACGAACAGGTTAAAAAAGTGTGGTGGGGAGAAAGAAAAAACAGCTATGTATATTCAAACTCATAGGTATCATCCTGTATTATTATTATTATTATTATTATTATTATTATTATTATTATTATTAGATCAACTTTTCTAAGGTGAAATACATCAATATCCACAAGTGAACTCATGAGATACAGTCCTTACTGGACTATTAGAACCTCAGGTTAAAAGTGGTAAAAGGTTCATATGATATGTTTGAGTGCATACTCCCAAACATATGAGGGAAGATGCTACACTGTGGGTTTCAGGCATGTGATCAATACAAAGATACAGTCAAGTATGTACTGCACCATGCGATCCCACTGATCATTGTAAATTCAGTGTATAGGTAATGGATCACATGAAAATCTCAGACTTCCAGCCTTCTTAACTTAAAATATTTTTACTAAATATTTTGAAATAATTCTAGAGCCTTGAAATTGCCCAGTGATCTCTAACCAAGATCATATACGAAAGTGTATTACATATCATTCTTCTTGTACACTAAAATATCTGATGTCACATGCTTAAATGACATAACATTTTGGTACATTTTAATGCTGTCTAAGCTATCAGACAATTTCCCAAGAATACCCTATGAACCAAACACGGGCAAACTTTGGCCCTCCAGGGGTTTTGGACTCCATCTCCTACCGGCTGTTAGGAATGGTGGGAGTTGGAGTCCAAAACCCCCGGAGGGCCAAAGTTTGCCCATGCCTGCTAAAAATGTTGTGAAGGCATCACAAGATCAGAACGCAGTGACATATTCAATGGTGTCGAGTTTAGCAAAACAGTGTAAAATATCTCTTCTATGTTCAACTGGAAGGTTTATGCCTACTAATACTTACTATACAAATATATATTTACATACAATATGCAGTTAAAAATGAAGTGCAAAGGCATAAAAGCTGTCACACAGAAACATGTGAGCTATGAACTAGGATAGCCAGAAAGTATTGGAGACATTTTGTCCAAGTTGGTCAGCAGCTACAACTGGATAAGGTGATTTGCAGCCATCCTGTAAAGCTCTGCTGTCAGAAGCAAAATGTTTTAGAAAGGCACTAACTACATCCATGCAAAATTCACAATGCCACATCCCAATTAATAGCTGATCTAATGCATAAAATTAATTTTATAGCATATAAATACTCTTCTCCTGACAGGGATTGTATCCAGACACTACTATTAAGGAGCAGGTGCTTTCATACACAGGGTAGAGAAGCTTCTCTTATCACCGTGCACAGGAATCTTCAAGAAGAATTTTCTCCTTTAGAAGAGAAATCAACAAGACAATGCTGTTGAAGACATGTTTCATCTCTCCCAGAATTCATAACCAAATTTGTCTCACACTTATAGCAGTTGCTTCACGTTGGAATACATGTTGATGTCCGAGTGTGTCCTATCTTCCTCAATGATCTTCATAGATTTCTCATACAATTATACTTTTTCCTGGATTTAATGGTGAATACTCTGATCCTGCTAAAGTGCTATATAAATGCTTAAAACCCATCTTTGATCAGATGGTGCAAGAACAGCTACAATACTAAAGCTTATTCATGATTATCTTGCAGAAAAGGACATGCCTTATTTGGACCAAACTGACTATTGCTAAACCTGCCTTCCCCCAACATTTACATTTCTTTCATTCTATGCTGAATTATCTTCTCGGTTTTGGCTCTCTTGCAGAAGGTTAGGATGGAAGCCTAATTCATGCAAGAATGGCTCATCTCAGCAAGACATGCAGCTCCTCCCTTTCCCACCCACTCCAATTCCGCATGCAGTAGCGACAAAGGCATAATAGCCCAGGGTTAAAAAAACGGCTGGCACTTGGGGCGCTGAAAACACAGACAGGTGGCAGCGCCAGCAATGGCGGGCAGGGTTATTTGTGAGCTGTAAACAGAACGTCACCAGAACTACCTCCTGGAGCTGCATCCAGCCACGCCTGCACTGCATCATGGCGTAGGGAAGGAAGGTCAGATGCTGAATTAAAAATAAAAATAAACCGTAATAAATTCCAAAGCACAGAAAACAAATACCTTGAAATGGACATATCGCAGAGGGAAATGAACAAGCAGACAGGACAGAATCAAGACCAAAGACACAAAGAATGGAGAAAAGACAAAATTCAAAAGGACCCTCAACGAGGGGGAAAGATGAAGGATAAAGGATGAATCCCTACAGCCAGATATCACGACTCTTTATTAAAATCAGAAAAGCATATCTCCAGTAACACTTATTTAACCTTCCCAATAAGAGATAGAGAACACAGTGAGGGGGGGAGGCTCCTTATGTTGTTCAGCTACAACTCCTACAAACCCTCATCAATGGTTATCCTATCTATGGTTGACAAGAATTACAAGACAACAGCATCTGGAGGGCTACACTCTCCACTCCTACCCTCAGGGGTTTGCCGATCCCTTGATTTTCACTCTTCTTTTTCATAGCAGTGTTTGAAGTGGTGTACATAACCTACAGCTTAAATGCTCTTCAATTCTTTGTCTCTTCTGTTATATAAATCTGGTATGGATACCCTTCTATCATGTTCTTTCTTATATTGTGAAGCACAATCTTCAATCCATGTGACCAGGCATGATAGCATTATAGTTCAATATACCTGAAAGGAATCAAGTTGGTGAAAGCTGCTCCAGAGAGTCATTCGTTATGTCTTCAATGGCCTTTACAGAGAGGAGATTTTTCACCTCATCCTTCACGAAACCTTTCTTCCACTATAGAGCAGACATCCTACAGGCAATTCCTTCTCCTGCACATCGCATTCCTTTATCAACTGCAAGGGCCCTTCCGCACTGCCATATAACCCAGAATATTAAGGTAGATAATCCACAATATGTGCTTTGAGTTATCTGAGCCCACACTGCCATATAATCAAGTTGAATGTGGATTTTATACGGCTGTGTGGAAGGAGCCTAACTTTTTGTCTTCATTCTTCTGCTTCATCTCTTTACCTATATGATAGGTTCAAGTTTTTTGTTACACTAGAGATGGAAAAAGGTTCACCTGCAGTTCAGAAAAAAATGATGGAAAGAAGAAAATTCTACAGAAGTGGAGAAGCGAAAGGCATACAGAGGCAAAATCCATGTCACAAGAGAAAGCTAAACAAGTAGAATAAGCTAAAAGAATAATCTGCTCCCAACATAAATGTCTGCAGGCTGTCAGATGGATTCAGGCTCCAAAAGTATGTCTTCTGAGAGATTGGGAAGAGATCGTTAGTACTTAGGACTTGACATCAGTTTTAACACGGCGATGTTAGAATCACCAAGGATTGGATTTCATATTCTGAGAAAATCAAAATTGTTGATTTCTCAACTTAAGGAAGCTTATAATGAAAAAAGGTTGGTATTTCCTGCAATAGAAGGCGACGGTTACTGAATGTACAAGTTAGATGAGAACAGACCATGATGGAGGACAAGAACAAAGACTAACATCACATATGTGAGGCTTCTGAAAAACACATAGACTCAATGTTGGGATAATTGTGCAACAAGAGGCATCACTCACATTGAAGGGTGGTCAGAGTAACATTTTCTGGCACTGGCAAAGTACCAGGGGTCAGTGAACAGGAACCCTACTTGGCACAACTTTGATCTAGTCTACTTACAATTTATTTTCAATATCATATCAAACTCAAAATGACAATCAATAAAGGTTTTCATTGGAGAAAAGTATATAGGGTCAATAAAATGTTATTAATGATTTGAAAGCAATCAGTGAACAAGTGGAACTAAAAAAAACTTGCAGATCTCGGCCATTTCCCCCCAGAAATAATAAAGTGCCATTTGATTACTAGGAACACAATATATCCTAGCAACTAAAGCATTATCTGAAAGGGAAATAGGCAAGATTCCTTGCAAAAGAAAAGTAACATTCTGCATTGTATTCCAAAGCCACAGTGTTCTTTAAAGTCCCTTAGGCACAAAGGCCTGTGATTATAGAGGCAATATTGACCCAGATAAGGGCAAAGTCAGGTATTTGTTTGGAGTTACAAGAAAGGAAATAGCACGTTGAGAGCTTACTATGAAAACTCATTCTAACAAAGGAGAAGTAGACATTAAAGAAAGGGTTAATTATACCCTATCTTTCTCTTCCCCTTACACTGAACAACAAAATAGCTAAAGCAATTTAAGCTATGCTTCAATCTCAGTTTGTTAAAGGTTGAACACCTGTAATGTCTTTGTTTGCTAGTGAAAAGAAAGCAGATAGAAGGCAAATTAAATCTTTCTTGGGAGGGGAGTTCCATAACCTAGAAGTAGCCACTGAAAAAGACACTCTTCCAGCTCAAATAATGTAAGGAGGAAGATTCCAGATACAGATATTATCTAAGTAGAATTTACTCTACAGTTTAATTTATTTTGAAAAGATCAACCTCCTTATGATTAAATGTCATCGCTTAGTACTCTATACTTAGTGTACACAAGGGAACCTAATGCATCAGTGTTGTTCATTCTACTCTGAATCCTTCCAGATGATTCATATTCATCTCACACTGTGGTCTCTCTCATTAAAATGAAGAAAAATATACCAGAATACCAGCAGAGGTCCCAACAACACCAAGTAAGGCTGTGCTATTAGTTCTAAGGTCTTTAATACAATGTCTCTGCCTTTCCATGGCTTCTGCTTTGGTTCCTTAGGGACCTGCTCACTTTCATATTTCAGTTTTGCATTGTCTCTCACTACAAAATCGCAATGTCAGTTAGCTTTTGTCCTGTCTAGAGTATTCAAGATCTGTTTACAGGATTATTATACACTACTTCACAAACATGCATATCAACAGACAATTGGTATTGCACTTTTGTGTTTGCCAGTTAGGATTTGGTTTCTCTCCAACGGCCCGCTTCCTAATTTTCCCCTCCCTGGCCAAATTCTCAAAGGCAAAAAAATTACATATGGGGGAAAAAATAAGAAAATTTTATTTTATTTTATGTTTCTGCCTTGATTGTCTATTTGTTTTTAGGCACTGAATGTTTGCCATTTTTGTTATTTTTTGTAAACTGCCCTGAGTCCCTTCAGGGAGAGAGGGAGGCTTAGAAATAATAAATAAAATTACTTTTTTCTTACCAAACTAGAAAGCTAGAAACCAGAAATGAAGTCTGGATGGCAAAACCAGCTTCTCTAGTACAGGGCCATCTCTGGAATTGCTAAATTAAGAGTATGAGAAAAACAGCTGAAAGAACCTCCTCTATATTCCCTTCAGCAAAGGTGGAGGCACGCTACTGCCATCTTCCATCTCTTCAAGCTAAGTCACATTTTTTCACACTAAGGCTAACTGGAGTAAGAAACCAAGAGTATCTGCTCTTCTGTCATATCATACTGTGCCAAAACCCTGGCAAGGCACTGATGTTTGATGGTCATCACCTGTATTTTGAAAGGCAAAATCACACTGCAAATTGCTAGTTGGTCGTCCTGGCCGACTATGGTTCCATGAATTATAGAATGTTAAACAGTGCCCTACGAGATACAAACCATATTGCCAGAAAAGCAGCTATCAAATTTTAATAAAATGAGCCTATCCAAACAAAATGCTATTATGTGCCTTTAGTCCAAATTTGGGGCCTCCACTTCTTGAATCCTAGACATATAAAATGACAATTCCTTTGAAGAAATGAATATAATTTTGCTAAATTTGCCTGATAGAGAAGACTTTATCACACCATAATCCAGTGGTTCTCAACCTGTGGGTCCCCAGGTGTTTTGGCTTACAACTCCCAGAAATCCCAGCCAGCTTACCAGCTGTTACGATTTCTCAGAGTTGAAGCCCAAAACATCTGGGGACCCAGAGTTTGGGAACCACTGCACAATCTGATTTCTCCCTGATCCAATTATACTATCATGAGTAGAAACTGTACATGTAACCAGAGATGAAGGGCAGGAAAATTCCCTTTGTTGACCTCTGTAAATTGTGACAAAGAGTAAGCTGAATCAACTCAATCAAAAGAGACATTAAAGCACTCGGAGGAAGGAGAGCTGTCCTTCTATGAGACACAGTCAGTGAGAAACAAATGCCCTTATGAGGAAAGGGGTCAATGCAGGGGGCATGTTTACCTCGGGAGGTGGAGGATATAGACGTAGGGCCCACTTTTTCCTCCTCCTCTTTCTGACGGATGTGTGTCCAATGCACATCTGCCAAGATCTCCAAAGGATCAATCGGATTTACTATCTGTTGCAGCCTCAGGTTTCCAGCTAGCAGACAATACGCCAGCGGTGGATCATGTTGATGGATTGGCAAGGGAGAACAGGAAGGAAAGATAGGGGAGGATAAGGAGCACACACCATAGGAAAGGAAATGCAGGGAAAGAAAACAAAATGAAAGAAGTTACTTGAGAAAATCAGCTAGCAATAGAAGACAGGTAAAGTTCAAGATCTTGCATGCATATGCTCTCACGTTCTCACTCTCTCTCACACACAATGGTTGCAGTTTAGAACTCCATTTCATGCCAAAATTCTTGAGTGAGGTGCACAATTACTCAAGAACTCACTCCAGCTATATCTTCCTTTTCAAAGAGATGATATGCAACTTAACATAAGACAATAGTTTTCAAAGCAGTCATTTTTGAATATCAACAAAAGATTGGCATGAGACATTTTAGTTACTCTGTATGGTTGATAATAAAGACTGCTTCTATTTTCTGTTTTCTTCTTTTTATGCAGGGTCATTTCCAAAAGTAACAGCTTTTGGTTTACACTACAAAATCAGAGCTTCAGAGAAATATTTTTCTTTGCACTATAACTCGCAGAATCACCCAGCCAATTGGGAGTTATCCAAAAAATTAACTTTTCCACATTCATGCAATAATGCTTCAATTTCAAAAGGTACCATTCTATTTTGTCTCAAACTACAATTTAACAATGGATAGAAAGCATCCAATTCTTGATGATACATGGTACTTGATGTGGCCAAAACAACTTCTCAGGTAAGTAGAGTTAGTCATCATGTCAGGCAGCCACAGGAGTTAGAAGGATGAGTTTTAAGTATAGAGAGTGCTGGAGGGAGAAAATCATAGACACTTTGCAAATTTTCCAAAGAGCAGGTCTCATATGATCAACAGGAATTGGAGTTATCCTACTCTATTCCCAAATATTCTCTAAAAAAGGATTGAGAACTGGGCAGAGACAGCTGCAATGAAATATTTATGGGAGGAGGTAACTGGTGTTGTTAAGAGTCGGATACTATGTCTTGTTCTCATTTATAGAAAAATGACTGCAACTGAGCAACAAGCACAGAAATCATCTTACAATCGTAAAACGATGTGTATGTAGCAAAATATGCCAATTTTTTACACATGTGTGAATGGAATAAATAAAATGTAAAAGTCAAAAAACGAATGGGAGTTTCCAATCGTCTAAACCAGTGGTTCCCAACCTTTTTTTGACCAGGGGCCACTTGATCAGGGAGCACTCTCCAACATTAGTACCAAAGGGGTTACGGATCAGGTTTCAGTCAAATTTAGATTCGGTTTGATTATTTGGGGTGCTGATTCAGAAAACTGTGTTGGACATACAACATCAGCTCTAGTTTCTGATACAGAACATATGCCATCTAGTAGTCGTCATCTGCTTGCCCACAGAAAACCATATTTAATAATTTAGAGCTGATGTGGTCTATTTAATACAATTTTCTGAATCAGCATCCCAAATAGCCCCGGAACAGGCCTAAAAACAAAGACACCAAGATGCCCCTGCTTCCAGGCACCACATGGAATGGCTCCGCTCAAGTGGGAGGGAGAAGGAAGAGAAGCAGCTGTCAGGAGGCTTGTTGTCGCACCTTTTGTGGGTAGTCAGCTTCTCCCCTCCTGACATCCTCGTTTCCTCGGCACTATAAGAGGGTTTCGCGAGACCAGTTGCTCTTGTTCCAATGGTTTAGTAACGGTGAGGCCACAGACCATATTTTGGTTTTTGCAGACCACAAGTTGGGAATCACTGGTCTAAACAAATCTCACAACTAAAACTTTTACTCCCAAATAAACAAAAACAACTTGTGGGTTCTTGTTTCTGTGGAAATCAATAACAATGGCAAGAAATAACACTGAGAGGGGAAGATTTTTCCTGTAAGAGCCATATAATGACTAAAGGATGCAGCACTGTGCTACATTTTGATGAAGGAGAGAACAGTAGCCAGTTTTTCTTTAACCATAGAAGGAAATTAATAAATGAGAAGCTTGTTGGCAGAATTTCTATTAATCTGACACAGTTCCATGACACCAAGAACAAGGGAGATTTGAGTTGTAAATTTACAAATGGTTGTTTATTTCTTTGTGAAAATTAGCAGGAATATTAGCATGTTAGGAATTTGGTTCAAACAGTATTTCAAAAACACGTTGCCTCATGTGAGACCTGCTCTTCGTAAAATGGGGGTTCCTGCCCCCACGCCCTGAGGAGGAGTGCTGGTGCTCGTGGTGCAAGGGTACCTTTAAATGTACCCGTGTCCTCTTCATTGGAAAGACGTTGAAGCCAGAGGCCTTGCTGAAGTTCGCTCTCCCAAGGATAATACTCTCCCTCTACAGCAAGGGAGCCACACACCAACAAATAGCATTGATACAGAAATGAGAGTGAAAGACAGAATGAGAAGGACAGAGAATCAGAAGTAACACAGCGATAATTTGGGGTGAGATGTTCTCCGTTTCATTGCTTGCCAGAAGTCCTGAGCAATAAACATAAGATCCAGCCAGTGCAATTGGAGGTTGGGAAAGAGGGAAGGTGTAGTCCAACGTATCTCGAGGGAATCAGGTCGGGGAATGTTGCTCTGGAGAACCCAGGAAGAACCACAATTGTCTCACTTATAGTAAGAAACATTTCATTCCCATGCAGGAAACTGTGCTATGTGATATGACCCCAGGTGATAATAACCTCTATTCCACATGGGCACCATGAGTTTTCCATCAGTTCATATTCCCACTGAAGTAGTGTATGAGATCATAAGAAGTTATTTTATAAATGGCTGAAGGTGGTTCTAAGGCATTCATCAGCTAAATTTCCTTTTGACATGCACTTTTGAGTGAGCAGGTAAGTAAAGGAGTTCTGGGAACTTCAGAGCTATTAATCTATTTTTCCATGCAAATATTTTATATTAAATTTTCCCAATTAACAATAAACAATCTGTACAGATATAAATATAGACTATAAATCTACTTTTAGTAGAAACTATCAGATTATCCATCTTCAAGTTACAGCATCATAACATTCACATAGGAAAATAACATGCAGCCCAACCAAAAAAAGAAAAACCTTCCTTTGGTTTCTGTAACAGTGCGTCCAATAATTGTCTTTCATAGAATCATAGAACTGGAAGAAACCACATGGGTCATCTAGTCCAGCTGAACATATTCCATACCTTGATGACTGTTGCATGAAACTCATCAGCAGTCTTTTATTTTAAAAAAGTGCTTTGCATGTAAAGAGATCTTGCTAGAGACAGGAGTCTATGGCAACCAAGGTCTATTTTATTAACCACTGATTTGGAAGATGCACTGCAAAATACAATTAAATCTGGCACAAAGCCAAAGTCGTTGCCAATTGTCATTAATAAATTTGAGAAAAGCAAGAAAACTGTCTGCAGCTTCTTTCTACATGAATCCCTTCCAAACAAACAAATACCAAAGAAGCTAGCAATTTAACAACTTCCAAATCTTTTTGCAGATTGGTGATTCACAATTATCAATAACTGAAATGTCTCTTTCTTATGCTTGTATCTTTTTATTCTCACTTAACACCAATACCTTCTCAATGTTGTTTTGTTTACATTACATTCAACTAGATATAACATTTGAGGGAGACATCTGTGATTTCTCAACTGTCATAGGTAGTAATCTCTAGTTTAGCCATGTGGCTGTTTCCCCTCATTTTAAGCATCCATAAAGAAACTGAGGAAGGTTTGAAGAAACCAAGGATTAATGTGCAGAACTCTACAAAAATGGGGTCATTCGTGTCCAGAAGGAAAGGCTTTGGCTGACTTCTTTTAGTAAATATAATTCTTCATTGGTTCTAGCTACAGCCTACCCTTTGATAGAGTACTCAGTTATCAATAGTCAATCATCAACTATTGATTGTCATCAATACTTACAATCAGTTGACTTATCTTCTAATCACCCCCGCTAGCTATATGCTACTGCCTGGGCTAAGTCACAGCTGCCATTAACACACAGGTATGATCTGACAACATCTCCAACTAACTTCATGAGTTGCTTTATATTGCAAACATTGGTCCATATACCAAGCACAGTCTACAATGACTGGCAGCTGCATTCCATGTTTCCATAGAGTGCCCTTTCCCAACTCTATTTAAAGAGTTACTACAGACACAGAACCCTTTGCATGCAAAGCATGAGCTCGGTCTGACAGTTTGTCCTGACCCTTTCCCAAGCATACTGCTTTGAGTGCAACACGCCCATTCTCATATGTTTGATTTTGGTTTAAGGCTCAAAAGTAGAAAGTTAGCACTGCATTTCACAGAAGAAACCTAGAAAGTGAATGAAAGACGGGTAAGACAAAACACAGTCTGACAAATAGTTGACACAATGAAGCCTAGAAGCACTGGTTCCACTGTTTTTTCAAAGGGTTTTTCATATGACTTCTCAGCAAATAAAGTACATCAATGGGTATCAGGTGCACAGCAGTTTAGGTTGTCCGCAAAAGAGAAAGTTAATATACATTATTCTGATCCCTGACCAACATACATACTCATAGGAGTATCTATTCTTAGGGGAAAAACTAACCTTCGCTGGAGACTTCTTCCTCTTCCTCCTCTTCCTCTTCCTCCTCCTCCTCCTCTTCCACGTCTTCCTCCACCTCCACCTCTTCCTCTTCTTTGACATGATTTTTCTCAGGCTCCAGCTCCTCCTCACTTTTGCCCTTTAACATGGCATGGATGCGCACAGCTTCCTTCCAAGGCACACCTCCCAGGTCAGAAGTAGGTTGCTGTGGTTGATCTTCCTCTTCTTCCTCCTCCTCTTCCTCCTCCATCTCAGATTCGGAACTACTGTTGGAAAAAAACAAGCTAAGTGATGCATCTCAAATGGTTTTTTTTAAAGGGAACCATTACAAAATTCATATTTTGTAAATAACCTCACAATTTCATTTCCAAACATATACACACACTCCTTTACATACTGAAGATTTACATAGATAAAAGCAAAACTGATCAAAATATTTAGCGCAATAGACGCATACCTCTATTGATGTGTTATTAAGAGTTAATTCTTTAACAGAACCTATGATACAAGCCTTGTATAAGGAAACAAAACATTTTTAGAGACCACTTGAAAGTGTCTTCCAAAATGCATTCTAGGATTAATATTTTTTCTTTTAATAGCTTCCACTTTTCTTATTAGTTCCAATTTGATAGCGAAATTTATACATTTATGCTTTTTCAACAAGCTGAGTAGGTGATGAGAGAGGGTAATCTGCTTTTCCGCTTTCTTTCCATTTTGCTCTTCACACAGACTCAAACTGGAGGTAGCAGTTTACCTTGCCTGCTCTAGGAAAGCACAGACAGCTATAGTAAGGAATTTCTAGGTTCACCAAGCAAGCTACAGCAAGATCACCTAAAGCAGAATGTAGCATTTTAATGATTTATAGGATTTTATTGTGTATTTTATATTGTATTTAATAATCTGGTGCTCATGTATTTATCTATTTGACTTGCCTTGTATGTGAAAGACCTATGGTCTAAGCATCGAATAAACTACACTGCTAGAAGACAAGAAAAGGAAGGCTGGGTTGAAATCCCATAAAAAGGGCACTGAGAGGCTTTGTAAATGGAGCCTGTCCCATATCTGCAAGACTAAAGAGCAAAGCAATACAATCAAGCCTCCACATTCACCGTTATGGGAATAGGACCCCAGTAAGGCTGGATCTACACTGCCCTATATCCCAGGATCTGATCCCGGATTATCTGCTTTGAACTGGATTATATGAGTCTACACTGCTAGATAACCTGGGATAAGCAGATCTGGGATCAGATCTTGAGATATAGGGCAGTGTTGATCCAGCCTAAATGTTAAAAAACACGAATTTAAAAATTACTGTTTTTGTACCCCTAAGAGGACTTCAATAGGAATTTCTAGATTCTCAATGGTCAACTTGAACTGGAATCTGACAACAGAATTCCAACAGAGAAATTCTCTCAGGTTAAAACATTAGTAATTTTTAAATTCAGTTTTTCATTTATACACACACATACACCATAGTAGTTATTAAGAGCCCTTAAATGTTGCTACCACAATTAAGAAATGCTCTTGTATTCTAATATTATTACTAACATAAATAACAAAAATTAAAATTGTTGCTTAGCCATCTATCTTCACAAAGACGTGTGGGAATAGTCTCTTCGTGACATTTTAAAAAATGGGTTTGTTAAAATGAAATTATGGACATACTTAGCAAACACATAATCCATTTGGGAATTTTATCTAGACAAGAAAAAGATAATTGCGATTGTCTCAACATCCAAGAATGCATTTTTCCAAACATTTGTGTTAAGACTTTGTTGGAAACAGCTTTTTTATTTTAGTTACACAGCATTACAACACTGAAAAAGGAATGTTGGCTTTTCTCTGTTGGAAGAAGGGGAAAAACAGTTTTGTGTTTTTTTGTCACTTAAAAATAGCATGTAACTCCCTGTCAGAGTACAGAATTCAAGCTCAGATTACAACATTAATTATTAAGCAAAGCTCTTTTATTCCTTCCTCTGCAGATTTTTGTCTGAAACTGATGCAAACCATATCTGATCAGAGGAAAGGTGAAGTGAAACTGCTTAATCTGTTGCCTTGTTAGAATTCTTCAACTCAAAATGAAATCACTCTCTCCCATGCCTTTTGCACCTGCCATGGGAAAAGAAGGAACAATAAAGAGAACTTCACATCTTTCCTCCATGGACCAAAGAAACAGATTTGCCAAGATTATTTCAAGATGGAAAATGAGCGGAAGGATCCAGTTCAATCACACTTTCTCCATATATATTTCTGCGTAGAAGCAGACTGATTCAGACTTTTATGTGTTACCAGGCTAAGGGGAGAAAGGGGAATGGGTAATAACCAAATATTATTTTACATTGAAATGGAGTCTGAAATACTGGATTCTGATGTTGCAAATATCTGATTTTGCAGATGTCACAATACTGTATCTAAATCAGTTGCTGGCATCAACTTCTATGGTTCATTCAAGTGCCCAAGGAACATGAATCTGAATTTGAGACATGGCTATATAAATAGATGTAGACTCAATTTTCAGGAACACCTACAATTTTAAATAATTATATATATGAGTAGCTAGAAATGAATATATGAGTAGCTAGAACTGAATATACCCCTTACCAAAGAGACAAGAGGTATCAGGTGACAATAGGTGCTGTTACTTCTCTTTTTTTTTTTTTGCTCATGTAAGTGAGTGGCTAGTGGTATTGGGAGTAGTGTAGATTTGCATTACAAGTCGAGAGCATCCTTGTAGTGGGACATAACTGTGGTCATTGGAGGAAGCCCTCCCCCCCCCCCTCGTTCCAAGCACGGCTCCCTCCAGGGAGATAGGGTGGAATATAATGTTTTTAAAATTTATTATTATTGGCTCCTAAAATGGCCCCTGCTAACAGCGACCTTTCAAAATATTTGAATGGATCTTCGCTTCAGGCCTATACCCTCACAGTCAAGGTTTTGGTGCAAGGACAATGGATCTGGAGCAAGAAATAACCTACAAGGTCTGTTTAAGCAACACAAAAAATATGGAGATGAAATAACCTGCTGGGGACATCCTCCTCTGTTCCTTTGTCTAGCACGCTACTTAGGTTGTGCTCTGCCAATGTCTCTTCTGGGACCTCTTCTAAGTCCTCTTCACGTTGTACTGAGAGACGGTAATTCTCCAATTCAATTCGTTCCGGTGTGCCTCGCAGTCTCTTGGCAAGGCTGGGTTCCTCTAGGCCGTTTACATTGGGTGCTGAAAAAGAATGAAGAGGCAACCCACAAAAAGCATTGAGTGTTGATTGAGAATGTCTCCACAACTTCTGAAGCATTAGTGATGTGAAAATATCTTTATATTACTTATATCAAGGCGACATGCATAACCTATTGACAAGACAACACAACTTATATGGGCTGAGTGCATAAAATTGCTATCAAAAGAAGGGTTTCAAAAACAAGTCAGAAGAGGGAACAGTGGAAAATAATCACTTCTTCCATCTTCCATGCACTTAAAATGCAACCAAATAGGTCTAAGACTAGATCTAAAGTTGTCATCCAATTAAGAGACAGCATGTATATCTTTCTGAATGTTCTGCTATAGCAATGGTTCTCAATGTGTGGATCCCCAGATATTTTGGCCTTCAACGTCCAGAAATCCTAACAGCTGGTAAACTGGCTGGATATCTGGGAGTTTTAGGCCAAAACACCTGGAGGCCGACAGGTTGAGAACCACTGTGCTATATAGAATTCTAATGTTACTGAATTAGAATATTTGGTTCATCCACAAAGGAAAGAAATGTTGTTAGTATGAACACAACAAAATGAATGAAATGAAAGCCGTTCATGATAGGCAGTTCATGATAATGATCTAAATAGACAGAAAATAATTTTTAATCAATAAAAATAAAAATAAAACAAATATATAAAATGACAACACTATACAGCAACATACTACCTTCTACAACTAAACACATAGAAAACTATAAAGTTAGCACAAGTGTCCATCTTATTATTCATTATAGGTCTACTTCCTTTAAATGATAATGTACCCACACTTCTACTAAACTCTACTTATTCATAGCTCCCAAAGCTGTGAAATGCCCCATCAGTGTTGTGAAATGGTAATGAACAAGTTCTAATCTTTCTTTAAAGTTAGTCAGAGATTTCTCCCTAATCAATATAGTAAATATGTCCATTTTGTAGTTCACAGATCTTCAACCACATTTTTTTCATTGGAATAACTTGTTCTTTTAACTTTTGAGCATATATAATTCTTGCAGGAGTATATTGCAACATTCTTCCAATTTTTTTTCTAGACTAACGTTCAGTCTTTCCAACAAATAAAACTGTAGTCTCATCTTACGTTTAACCATAACAATGCCTTCCAACATGACATGTATGAGAGTCCAGTATTTCTGGACCTTCGTTGTCATTGTTATGTGTCTTCAAGTAAACTCCAATTTATGGCAAGTCTACCATACAGTTTTCTTTCGATTCACCATTGCCTTCCTCTGAAGTCTGCCCAAGATTTGTCCACCATTATATCATCCTGGCTCTGCTTGTGTGCCTTCATGTTGTTTCTGATTTATAATTTGAAGGTATCATTGAGTCTTTTGAAGCTGAAAGCGTATGATTTGCCCAGGGCCACTCAATGGATTTTTGTGGCCCAGCAAGGATGGTCACTAGATTGACTCTCTCCGTGTTGATAATACTTACATGGGAGGAAATCTGATCAACATGGAAATCTTATCAAAATCAAGTGAACAAGCACAAAACTATGGTGCTAGTTAAAGCAATGATATTCCCTGTAGTAACCTATGGATACGAGAGTTGGATAGAAGGCGGAGCACAGGAAGATAGACGCTTTTGAACTGTAGTGTTGAGAAGAAAAATCCGAGAGTGTCTTGGACTACAAGAAAATCAAACCAGTCCATACTCCAAGAAATAATGCCTGACTGCTCGCTGGAGGGAAGGATATTAAAGGCAAAGATGAAATACTTTGACCACATAATGAGAAGACAGGAAAGCTTGGAGAAGATAATGATGTTGGGGAAAATGGAAGGAAAAAGGAAGACGGGTTGACCAAGGGCAAAATGGATGAGTGTTATCCTTGAAGTGACTGGCTTGACCTTGAAGGAACAGGAGGTGGTGATGGCTGATAGGGAACTCTGACATGGGCTGGTCCATGTGGTCACGAAGAGTCAGAAACAACTGAATGAATAAACAATCAGCTTAAATCTAAAATTCTGAGCTCACTGCTCTTCAGTTCTGAAAAGCATACCTTTACTCTCAACATTACCATAGAGCTCCTGAATTCAAGGCCATGTAGAAAGACTCAGGTTATTACAAAAGTGGCTCACTCTAGAAACCCACTGAGGAAGAACCTTTTTTGCCTATCTACAACTTGTAAGTAATGAGGAGACTGGAATGTTCTGCCTCCCCCTCATCTAACCCATTGGATTCAAATCTACATACAAGTTCTATCATGTGGTGTAAAATCGCTTTCATATACTAATGTTATGTTTCTTGTTTGGATTGGGAAAATGAATCTTTAAAAAATACAGCAACTATGTTTGTGAAAAACCTGTAAAAACAATGTCCCACTATGAGTATATAGAGCCAGGAGATGTGTTTGGAATGGCGAACAAACAATCATGGCTTGAAGTTTTAATTCATGTGTGTGTTAAATATTTCATTTGGTAATGTACAAACTGCATTTTGACAAATTAATTTAAATTAAGTCATTCAGATAATATCTGTTATTACACACAAAGATAGATTTCATCTTAAACTAATAATAAAATTGAAGATTATTTTGACAAATGTATATAACTGAAAAAATAATATGTACTGGCAGGGTTGAGGTGAGGACAGCTCACTGGTAGAGCAAATGCTTTGCTTACAGAAGATTCAAGGATCAGTATCTGGCATCTCTAGCCAAAAATAGATGTTACTATCCTACCTTTTCCCAAACCTGTTTTATTTTTATTAAAGCTGTTGGAAATTAATTGTTTCAGCCAAATCTATATACATATGGTATATTGTTTTAAGTTGCCCAGAGACCTTGGGAAATATAAACATTTTAATTAGCAGACAAATGTGTCCCTTTGGAATTGTATAAGAAGTTTGTAGGAGAGGTTGCAAGGCCAAGAGGTAAGGAAACAATTTTGATATCAATCTCAGCTGAAATATTAAAAAATAATATATATTGACATGGAAGGTCATGCTCTCTATGAATTGTGTTGCAGTGAAGAAGTGTAGTTGATGGGGGAAGTGGAGGGGAAAGACAAACAAAGTGGGCATTCATACCAACTGACAATCATAGGTGTTTTTGAGAACTTCTGTGCCTCTTGGGTTTACTATAAATAGCAGCAGGGTGGCTAAAAGGCAGCTGTACGTTCCAATGAGGTGACTACAGTTGTTATTTTTTTCCTGCTGTAACTGAAATTTGAAATGATACGACCTGAAATAGGTGGAATCTGAAGTGTGTTTGAGATATATTATGTGACATTCTTTTCCTATTTCTTACTTTTTAAATAATACTTAAATTTAAATAAGATGGAATAGGGTTGAATAGATTCAGTGGTATCCACATGACACAAGGAGACCGTTCACCTTCATGCAGCCTTGTCCCATGTTAAAAAAAGTTGTGGGTTGCTCCAGAGCTCACCCGCATGTTGTGGTAGTGTGAACAGTTGGACCACTTCCTCTTTGGAAGCAGCTGTTGGCTATTTACACAGCTATACCACTTTTCCTAGGCAATGATGTCTAAGGCTTCCTAGTTGGCAGAGCAAGATTCTAATGGTCTTCAGATTCAGTCTTTGGGCATTAATAATTAGATTCTGAAAATTAATCTAGAAATCAATATCCCTTAATTGGCATGAATGGCACCCGTTTAAGCACTCTTGAGAAACTGAAGCAACATTGTATTGTCGAAGGCTTTCATGGCCGGAATCACTGGGTTGTTGTAGGTTTTTTCGGGCTGTATGGCCATGGTCTAGAGGCATTCTCTCCTGACGTTTTGCCTGCATCTATGGCAAGCATCCTCAGAGGTAGTGAGGTCTGTTGGAACTAGGAAAAAGGGTTTATATATCTGTGGAATGACCAGGGTGAGACAAAGGACTCTTTTCTGCTGGAGCTAGGTCCTTCGTCTCACCTTGGCCATTCCACAGATATATAAACCCTTTTTCCTAGTTCCAACAGACCTCACTACCTCTGAGGATGCTTGCCATAGATGCAGACAAAACGTCAGGAGAGAATGCCTCTAGACCATGGCCATACAGCCCGAAAAAACCTACAACAACCCACTGAAGCAACATTCCTATGAGATCAAGTTATTGCGCTATCGAATCAGCATTAAATGAAGAAAAAATAAGATATTACTCCTCAAAAAGGGATAAACAGTTTAGTGTTAAATATCCTGAGCACCATAGTTGAAAGAACAGTGTAGTGGGTAATCAGCTTGGAGAATTGCAAATGGTCCAAAAAATACGGACCAACATCTGTTTATGCATAGTTCCTAGATTATACTAACATATCTCCAGTCAATTCTGTTTCTTTCAAATCTGGGTTGAAAAGGTATCAAATGTTACTCTTTAAGTCTCTGTGACTGCCAAAAAGACTATTAATGGCTGCATTTACATCAAAAGTGTTATGAAAGCTTCCCGTCCTTCTGATTCAACAGAATAATGAGGGCAAGTATATTTTTTTAAACTCAAGAAATGTCAAAAACACACTGTACTTTGGAGAACACTGGAGTAAAGTGATGTGTGCACAATTCTAAGTATGGCTGGCAGTGGCATCCAGAAAATATTATGAATTCCTTAAAGGTCAACCTAATTTTATTTGAAAGGCCACTTTCATTTTCTTGTGATCTGAAAAACGGACCAACTAAGGAAACAGATCATGAGCTGGCAAGTAAGACCAATGTGAGTGTACATTGTCACGAAGTACGAGACGTTCTATATTACTGCTATATGTACTATATGAGATAGACTGATTTATATTGCTGGTTTACTTCCCTCTTCTAAAGCCTTTGACTGTGTGGATTATAATAAATTGTGGCAAGTTCTTGGCAGTATGGGCATACCAAGCCACTTTGCCTGTCTCCTGAGGAATCTGTACAAGGACCAATTAGCAAAAGTAAGAACTGGCCATGGAACAACAGACTGTTTCAAGATTGGGAAAGGCGTACAGCAGGGTTATATACTCTCACCCAACCTATTCAACTTGTATGCAGAACACATCATGTGACGT